AATACTTAGTTTTAATGATTTAAAAGTAAAGAGAATTCAGCGAAGATAATTTTCTTTTCTACGAAATCATTTATTCAAATTGTACATTCGTATTTATAGTTTTGTGGTAAATACATGTCTACAGAGGGATTAAAAAGGTTGCATCATAAATCTTATTTATTAATTTATTAGTTATTTGAACACATTAACATTGGTACGAATGGGCAGCAAATACATATGTGCCACACAATAACGGTGAGAATTTTGAAGAGATAGGGAATTAAAAGTGCACATAGGAAAAAGAAGAACTATAACGGACAAAAATTTGTGTACGATACTGAAGTAATAATAGAGAGGCAGTTCAGTTAGCAAAGGTACAACCAGAAGGAATTTTTTTCAGTTAAAGAAGTTACGCTCATATTTTATGAAGAAAGTAAAAGAAAGTTACATCAGGATCACTACTGGCTTCTATTTTGAGTCATAGCTGAGAACGTCATAAGCCACTGTGTTGCACCATCTCTAGGACCCAAACTAGGGAGTCGTGAAAGACCAACGGGAGCCAGTCATGTACAGCATTCTTGATGACAAGGCACCTTCTACTACACTGATCACCTCTCCACTTCTTGTAACCAGTCTCAGCACCGGCAAATAATACACGATGTAGAATTCTCTGGGACGACATTCATAGAAAATGTCCAAGCCAACAAAGTAGGAGTTTACAGATAGTGACACCAACTGAATTATCGTCGCTGTGCCCGAACACCCAATGTCGAACCTCTGCATTAATAACATGGTGGTGCCACAGGATGTCAGCAATCTTTCGGATACAACAATGATCAAATACAGAGAGTCATCTAACATCCTAAACTCAGAGAGGCCAGGATTCACAAACATTAAGTAAAACTGCTCTCATCAATGCATGATAGATCCGACATTTTACAGCCAGACTAACATCACGAAGGCGCCAATGATGACCGAGATTGATATAAGCCACTCTGGCTTTCACCATACGTGAATTGATCTCATAACTCACGCCACCACCATCACTTACGTAGCCACCCAGATACGCGAACTTCATGACTACTTCCATTTGCTCACTACTCAGGCTGAGTGCAGGTTCAGAGTACTTCCAGTGCTTACTGCATGGCTTGAGTATTATGGTACAGTATGACAATACCACCGCACACTCACCACCACCATTACCTACATCCATCAGAACCATTTCCAGAACGTCATCGATAGCAATGTTGAGGAGCAGTGATGAGTTTGGGCACCCTGCCTAACCCCATTGCCTGAATAAAGCAATAGAGAGACGTGGTTATATTCCCTCACTCCGTATGAAGTGTTTGTATATAGGGTTTTCAAGTTGTTAATAAACTTCTCAGACACATCCTTCTTCAACAGACAATCCCAGATAACAATAATGTCCAATGAATCAAAGGTGGCCTTAATGTCAAAAAACACTACGATTGTTGGCCTGTAATGAGTATGATAGTATTTCAATATTTGGTGGAGGGTGAAGATATGAGCAATACAACCTCGACCAAAAACGAAAGCTAGCCTCCTCCTTGTGAGTCAATCTTTCTCGGGATTTGAACAATCTATGAGTAGGACGGAAGCCAATAGCTTGGACGCAATCTGAAGTAGACTTATCCCGCGATAGTTGTTGCAGAAACGACGTGAACCCCCTTTAAAGATAGAGACAACTCTCGACTCATTCCATGATGTTGCAACACTATAATTTCAAGAGCTTTATAAATAACCTTAACCAAAAGATCCCCCACCATCTTTAAAAAAAGCTGGAGTTGAGTCACCTGGGCCTGGTGATTTGTGACGCCTCAAAAGTTACCGGAAACAGATGTTGTTAGCACGCTCCAATCACCAGACTTCTCTGTCCTTACGCAAGCTTTGCATAACTTCATTATGCAACAATCTTCGTTTATGGTCAAACTCGCAGTCGTCCGGAGCAGACCGACGAATTTTATATAGAGATTTCTGTGAAAAAGAACCATCTGACCTTCTCTTCACTTGCACATCAAGAAAATGAAGAATGCTTCCAACGTGAATTGAATTGAAAGGGGACAATTGCTGAAACGATTCAAAATTTCAATGAGGTGCATATCTTATCCACAAATAATGAAAGCACCCTCCACGTGTCGCTTATATAAATGGAATCTCTCAATTATTCGTCTAAGTACCGTATTTTCCAAATTGGCCAACAAACAATAAGCCAAGAGGGGATACAATGTCGGACCCAGTGCAACACTATATGTTTTTCTATAAAATCCATTACTATATCTGAATTAAAACGTTGGGAGTATATTGTAGAAGTACCTTTTTTGAATATTTCGATTTACTTATTAAAAATAAATGAAATCACGTGTTTAAATACAGATACTGGCTGGTGTAACAATATATTACCCTGAAAAAGTGCGCTCATAATAAACACAATCATTAACAAAAATTAATTGCATATTTCAGTATCAAACTTTAGTATATTGACTACAAATTTCTGAAGTATATCTGAAGTATAGCGCAAGGCTCAGTGAGGCGATGACAAATGTTGATTTTATAAAGGAGTGCATAGAAACCAACTTGTATCCAAAGTTGTATTGGAAATCTTTACGTCGCTCTCGAGTTCGACCAAATGGAAGGACTCTCAAACGCTACGCCCTTAACCAAATCTATTCTTTAAACTCATACATCGCTGAGATGGTAAAAAATATCAACGAGAGAATTTATGCTGTAGATGATCTCCCTGATAAATTAAGAGATCAGTATCTGGACTATGTGGAGATGGTTGTTAACTCAAGAAGGGAAAAGAAAAGAATGAAACTTAAGAAAAATCTAGACAAACAGATCCCAGAAATGAAATTTCCATCCAATCCAGGTCAGTACGTACACAATTTCTCTAGTGTTATACTGGATAAAACTGCGTTAGAAGCGTTATCATTAGGCCCTAAGTTTTGTGACTTCAAGAAAACAGTAAATAAAATGGACGTGGAGATTCAATTCGAAAATCTTTATGCTCAAACGGCAGAACTAGTAACTTCATCAAAAGATAATGTCGAAAGATTTAAATCAACACTAGTCGACTGTTGTTTTAAATATTTAAATCATAGACACAACACGAAAGGGATTTTGACGAAAAAACATACAGAAGCTTTAAGACAACTTAAAACTAATGACAATTTATTAATCATGAAACCGGACAAAGGACATGGAATAGTACTCATGGATAAAAATGACTACATAAACAAAATGAAAGCCCTTTTAAATGATCAAAGCAAATTTCAGAAACTGGCTGTGAAGAACGACATAGCAGATAAGATTGAAAAGCAATTAACAGATTCACTGAAAGAAATTAAACAACAAGGTTTTATTTCAGAAAAGATGTTCGAAATGTTGAAACCTACAGGAACGATGACACCAAGACTATATGGCCTACCAAAAATACACAAAAGTGGCTTACCCCTTCGACCAGTTTTAGATATGAGTAACTCAGCGTATCATACTATAGCAAAATGGTTGGTGCAAATTCTTAAACCATTACACAAAGAAATTGTCAAGCATAGTGTCAAGGATTCCTTTGAATTTGTTGAGAACATAAAAAATCTATCAGTCAAGAATAATTTCATGTTATCACTTGATGTATCATCTCTATTCACTAACATTCCACTACAAGAAACAGTTGATTTTATTTGCAATGAACTAACAGAGAGACGCATAGAAACCCCGATTCCAGCATCCGCGATAAAACAGTTAATTCTCAGATGCACA